CGCTGCATCCTGCACACCGACAGCATCTGGAGACGGCGCTGCCGGGAGGAGTACGGCGCCGTTGAAAACTTGAGGATCCCGGGGACGATGTCTGTGTCTTGTCGAGAACTCTATGCCAACTTGCTCCACCCATGCAGGCACCTTTTGGGATTGTGGCAGCCAGATAACTGGCCCTATGGAGGACTCTGCTGTATGTAGTGGTGGACGTACCTGCCTCTCCATGACCCCCGTGTGGATGACTCCATGCAGTTCAAGCCCGCGTTTAGAATTCGCCTGGCAGAGGGGAAATCGGCCACCGAAGTGCACGTATGGCCACCGAGGGCCCCACAGCTGCCACGTGCAGATTCGGAAGGACGGGCTCTCCACCCAGTGCAACCTGACGCACCACCACAGGATGCCTGGTGGGAGCCGAGAGGATTTACGCGGGTGGCTGCGGGAAGAATGGGGGCAGGCGCTCGAGCACATTTTCCTGGAGGACAGGCTGCAGTTCGTCCTGATGAAGCTCATGGACCATCAGTATGACGACTGCAGGAACTACCGCCGCATCTACCTCTCCCCGAGCCACCCGAAGGACCTCATCAGGCCAGGCCTCTTCAAAGGCACCCACAATGCCTACAACAGCCTAGAGGTTGTCATGCTCAGCTTCCATGGGAAGCATGCCAGGGCCACGAAGATCACGGGTGACCACCACGTCCCTGCTGGGCAGCAGATGCTAGACATCCACCTCAGGCACCGCCTCCAGCTGCCCGATGGTATCTTCAGCAACTTCAACAAGTACTCCCGCCTGGTCCAGGAGGTTCACGAGCAGGTGATCCAGGAGCAGCAGCAGCAGCAAGAAGACAGCACTGAGGACGGCGAGGGCCATGGCCGGCTGAGCCCTGCGCAGCCCAGTGTTGGGGAGTCCCGGGCTGTACCTTTGGAGGAGCAGCCTGTCCAGTTTGTCCTGCCTGCGGGCGTGAGCTCCAGTGACCAGAACTACCCCCGAGCCTGCAGGATGTGTTTCTATGGCGTGGGCATTGTTGCTCACTCTGGCTCCGCCTACCCCCAGCGCATCCCTGGAGCCTTCATCCTGTTCGATGAAGACCACTTCGGGTTCATGTGGCAGGAACCGAATTGCCTCAGCCTGTACAGCAGAGTCCAGGTCACTTTCCAGAATGCGGAGGCGCCATCCCCGCAGGCTTTCCAGGACATGCTGGAGAACATTCAGTCCCCACCGCCTGAGGGCGCCTTCCTTGCTCAGGGGCAACAGCGGGGAGAAGAGGCTTCAGAGGAAGAGCAGCTTCGTGCGCTTTTGGAGGTTTGACCTTCTGACCAGATTACCCACAGTCTTTTTTTTTTTTTTTAATTTTATTTTTTTATTACAAAGGTATTACATATGTGTCCATTTTTTCCCCCTGCCCAAGACAGTCCCCTAGCCTCCCCTATCCCCCAGTTTCTTCTG